CCCCCCCCCCCCCCCCCCCCCCCCCCCCCCCCCCCCCCGCCCAGGCAAATTCATATGTTAAAGTCTTAACCTCTAGTACCTCAGAATGTGATTGAATTTGGAGATAGGTCCTTTAAAAAGGTAATTAAGGTAAAATTAAGTCACATGGATGAAGCCTAATTCAATACAACTGGTCCTTATAAGAAGAGACACAGGACACATTACATAGGACACAGACGTGCACACATGAGGAAAGACCATGATCTACTTCTAGAACATAAATGTCTAGTTTAAGCCACCCAGTTTGTGGCCTTTTGTTGTGGCACCCAGAGCAGACTAATACAACAGGTGAAAGGCTGGAATGGAAAGCCTTTCTGGGGGACCCATGCTCCAAATGCACACCCCATTGCTATCATCTCTTCCAGCTGATCTGGAAGGACATGAGCAAGAGGGGCTTCGAACAGTGTGGGAAAAAGTCACCTATGCGCCCAAGACATGCAACAGAGGAGCAGAAAACAGGCCCCAAGAACAAGGACAGAAGCCTCCCTCTCCCCTGCAAGTTTTAAACTTCAGAAACTAGGTGAGCAAGGAGGCCATAAACCACAACGTGGAAACACAACCAGCTTGAGAAGCTACTGATTTAAGCAAGGATGGAAACTGGCAGAAATGTCTGTGGGAAGTGTCCTTCAGAAAGGTGAGGGTGGACCCTGGGAGGGGTGGGAAAGAGCAGTGAGGATGGCCTGCTGCTGATAATAAAGGATGCAACATTACAGAAAACAGTAATAATGATGAAACATGTCTGGCCTAATAGGATCCTGCCTTTTTAGGGGCCTTGTGGGGAGGCCGTTCCCCCCTCTGAGGCATCGGATCAGTGCCTTCTCGGGCGGACAGGGCCCTAGCAGAGGGTGCAGAGCCTCACCTGCAGGATGGGAGCCAGGAAGACAGAGATCCCTGTCAGGATGAAGACAATGGTGCCGGTCACTCTCTGTTCCCTGGCAGAAAAGAACACATGGTCAGGGTGGATTGGGAGATGCTCCATGACCATTCCAGCCCTCTGTGGGCACTTGAAGGTTGTGTCCAAGGCTCTGGCCTCTGCCTTGCTGCCCCATTCCAGAGAGTAAACCAGTGACGTGAGGACCAGCTGCCTGGCACATGGGAAGAGAGGGAATCCAACTGAGGTGAGGGCATTTGTAGGGGCATTCAGGAGGTTATCCAGTGCAGTGGCTAACAGGGGGTGCTTGAGCCAGACCAGCTTGGGTTGAATCCTGGCTCTGCCACTTACTAGCTGTGTGGCATCAGGCAAGGCCCTAAATGTCTTCAGCATTAGTAGAACATGACTAATGGCATGCACTTCAGGGGTTGTTGTGAGGATGAAGTGGGATATGAAGTGCTCATTATCCCTGCCTTTTGATTATAATAAGATCCCACGCTTGTGAAGCACGACAGATGAGGATTTAAGGGAATGGGGCCTGGCTGCTGGCAGAGCAGATATCAGGGGCTGGAGGGCAGGTATGTTTTCTGGAGTGCTCAGACCCAGGCACAAGTCCAGGGGAAGCTTGGGGCTCTGGGGCAGATTGCTCAGGCCCAGCCATCTGGGGCTCAGAGGTTGGGGAGGGGACCTTGCCCTGACCATAGGAACCTTGCTCAGGGCTGGCCGGGCAGCCCAGGAATTCCGAGGTAGTGAGGAGAAGCTCTTAGGACAGCCATGTATGAGAATGCCAGGGTCTGATGTGGGCTCACCCCAGAGGTCCGAAGGGGTGGAAGATGCGCTTCCCTGCCTGAAACATTTGCATGAGAGGAGGGGTGAGTGAAGGAACGGAAGTGACAGGCCATGGGCCACAGCCCAGGGGGTGGGAGTGGTCCTGGAAAGGCTTTCTGGAGGAATGGAGATTGAGCAGGACCCGAACCCTGCTTTGGGTTATTTGGGGGACGGCATGGCTAGGGAGTCTTGAAGAGGAGACAAAGAGTCAGGTCAGAAGGGGCTCTGTGGGAACTCTTGAGCAGCCTGTACAGGTGAGAGGTGAGAGCATGTGTAGGGGCTGGGGTGTACTGACTGGAATCTATTAAGAAGAAAGCACCGCTTAAAACTGACTCTTTGTCTCCCTCTTCCCTCCCTTCAGGGATATCACTCCTATCCCTGTGGTTCCTGGGTAGTTAGAGAAGGGGCCCTATTCACCCAAATACCTTGATGGTACGAAAAACCTGCTTTCTCTCCCCACTACCCCCAATCTGACCCCTCCTGCCCAGGTGGTCCTCGGGCCCTGACCACCACCTACCTGACCCCCAGGAACTGCGGCTGCTCCCCGGGGGCGCTGGTCTCCGTCTCCATCTTGAGGCTGTCGATGTGGGCGATGGAGATGACCGTGGCAGCCACGTACCAGGGGAGCCCCATGAAGGAGCAGAGAGCCATGAGGATGCCCACCCAGAACAGGTCCAGATGGTAGCCAGCAGCCTTCTGCAGGGGCAGTGGGAGGGAGGAAGCTGTCTAGGGAGCCAGTTCCCAACCACCTGTTGGGGTGGGGTGGGGGAGACAGAGCTCTCCCAAGGCAGCCATTGTGTGGAACATGTGTTGAGGGCTCCCCGTGGGCTTCTACACGGCACCCTGAGAGGACTGCCACCCTGAGGTGACCAGGCCTCACCAACCCCAGGGTTTGGTGAACCAGGGAACGGACGCAGGTGAGGGAGGAGAGGGGTGTTCAGGCTTGGAGAGGCCCTGGGTTTGGGTCCTTGGGAAGAAGTTCTCCTACCCAGCAGCCCAGTATCTCTATAGTTCCCTAATGAGGGGTCCCAGGTGGGGCCGGCCTAGACCAAGCCGAGAGTGACCCAGGCTGGGATGGGGGAGAGACTAGTCTGCGTCTCCTCAGACTCAGAGGCAGGGAGGACGGTTGGCGGGGCCAGGAAGGCATGGATGCCCCTCTGCCTTATGGTTCCGGGTCAAAATCCCCTTGTTAGGATCTGTTCAGACTCCCAAGTTCACTGTCAGGAGACAGAGCGGGAGGGTCACTTTGGGAGAAGCAAGGAGCCGTGCCCAGTGGCCCATCCTGGGCTTGGTCCTGGTCCCTGGAGCCTCTCCGCTGGCCCTTCTGGCCTTACCCACATCTGGAGGTCACATTCTCCCCACCCCCGGAACTCCAGTCTTCTGCCCTCATATTTTGCTTCACAAGTGGCCCAACATTTTGAAAGAAGCACCTCCTCCCTCCTTCATTCCTTCTGACTCTGTGGGAAGAAAGAGATTGTGCCCCTCCTCCTAGCACCAGCCTTACCCTCAGCTTGTTCTCCTTCCGGTTGACTATGACGGCCGTGATCTGCTGGTCCATGAAGATCAGGATGGTCACCAGCAGGGCGGGCAGGATGCTTACCAGGTACACCCACCATGGGTTCTTCCCAAAGGGGGCCACGAACCAGCCTCGATCAGGCCGCGTGGGCTGAGCAGAGCAAAGGAGAAGGCCCTTTTCTCTCTCCCTTGTCCCGGTGCACTTGTTGTCTAGCCCGCTCTCCCAGACTTCCCGCTATTCCCACACCTGGGGTACTTTTCAAGTGCAATCTTATCCCTTAAAGACATTAGGCACCTGCAACTTTAGAGAGACCCCGGAGGCACAGACTTGGGAAGGGCAGTGGTGTCTACAGAACAAAGGATGATTTGCTGCAGCCGCCATGGGCTTGTCTGGGAAACAGGGAGGTGCAGAGTCAGGGGGCATTGGTAGAGATTGCAAAAGATGTTAACAAGAAATGGCAATGAGGCCCAACAGCAAGAAAAAAGAAAATGATGGGCCCAGTGCCTGATGCTTTCTGCCTCTTCTCTGAGTCATCTGTCTGGGGGAGGTTATAGAATTGTCTGTAAAACACCAAACATTAATTTAGACTTGCATATTAAGAATAAAGGATTATCTGTGCAGGAGCTGGGCTGAAGTTTACCTTTTGTTTACTTCAGAGAAAGCAGTACTTTACATTTCAAGGCCAACATGAGTTTTATGAGATGTTTAAGCTGAAATAATATTGCGAAGGTCAAGCCCTCAAAGGCAGGGAGGGTCAGTTCTAGAACCTGTACCTCCCAGTCCAGTTTAGACGGGTCGAGCTCCTTGTGAGGGAGCAGGGCTCACGCGGAGCTACAAGCAAATAGCACCAACTCTAGACTAATGGGAAATTCTGAAGCAGTGGTTCCCAAACTTAAGCAGGCCCCAGAATCTCCTGGAGGGCTTGTTAAATTCAAAGCCCTGAACCCCACCCCCAGACTTTCTGATTCCATGGGTTTCAAGTAGAGCTGATAATTTGCATTTCTAACAAGTTCCCAGATGAGGGCGAGATGCTAGTCTGGGGACCACACTTTGAGGATCACTGTTTTGTTTTGTCTTTTTCGTTTGTTTGTTTTTGGCCTTGCCGCATGGCTTGCGGGATCTCAGTTCCCCGACCAGGGAATGAACCATGGCAGTGAATGCCCAGAATCCTAACCGCTAGGCCACCAGGGAACTCCCGAGGATCACTGTTTTAAAGGATCATTTTCAGAAGATGGCCCAACTTGTAGACTGCCATGAGCGAGGGAATTGTAAACCTGTAAGTGGAAATCAAGGGGCTTCAGCTGGGCTGGAGAGTAGATTCCAGCACCTTCCCCATCCTGTGGCTACACAGCAGGAGTTCATCGTGGATATATGTGGTTTGAGGAAACCACTCTCTCAAAGGACCGCCCCTAGCAGGCCGTGTGGGAAGGGTGGAGCATACAGAGAACCCACGTGGTTACGTGGCTGAGCACATAAAAATTTGATCAGCATAGAGGGGAAAGGATCTGCAACTGGTGGGCAGGAGGAGAGAATGCACAGAGCAGGGGTCCTGGGCAAACCTTGATGACGCTGGGCACGAGCAGCTTGGGGGTTGCCAGGCCAAAACAGGCATCAATTCCACAGAACAGCAGGATGGAGAAAATGATGGAAAAGTCAGCTACTAGGGCCCGAACCTGCAGAAAAGAGATGAGCAAGTCAGAGAAGCTCCTGCCCACTCCAGGCAGACCCCACCTCCAGTAGTGAAGAGGAGAGCTGCTGAGAGCTTGAGCAGAGTCAGAAGACCCATCTTCAGCTATCTCAGAGAGTGCCAGTCACTCTCTAAGTTGGATGAACCTGGTGACACTCCCACCCATCACTTTTCATTTCCAATACTTGGTTTTCCAAGTCCTTTGTGTTTTTACCAAACTGATGGCTCTGAAATGGTACGATCTCATTCTTCTCTGCAACACTAAATGCCAGGTAGCAACATGGCACTTTGTAAGTATTAATTTGAGGGGGAAAAAAAGGTGGTGATAAAAGAATATGACACTAACATGAATTTTATTTCATCCTTCAGGCAATAGATATTCTCAGATGCAGTCACTGCTCTGGAATTTTTATATAAAAGGCAACTTAGGGATATGATCTGGTTGGAAGTTGGAAGGAAGGGAGGGAATTTGTCTTGAGGATGCATTCGTGTTGCAAGTACACTATTTTTTGCTCAGTTTGTATTTTGTAAATCTTCCCCAAAAGTCTTTTATTTAGTCTTTACAAAATATTGGCAAAAATTCAATTATTCATATCAAAGATATTTTTCATCATCATCACTATTATTATTGGTAGTAGTTGTAGTAGAAAATTTATTTAAGATGGCTTTAGAAGAGTGTGCATGTGGTTTCTGTTAGAAGAGCATTGCTAAAAATCTTCCCAGTGCCCCTCCTCACTTCATAACTGTTGCTCACATATGCAAGTGCTGTTTTGATTAATGAATTCTTTATTCTAGCCACAAAACAGTTAGAAAATGAAATTAAAATAGCAGTTAGCATTTACAATAGGTAAAAAATAAAAAATCAAGTACCTAGGAATAAATCTAATCAAAAATGTGCAAGACCTCGGGCTTCCCTGGTGGCGCATTGGTTGAGAGTCCGCCTGCCGATGCAGGGGACACGGGTTCATGCCCCGGTCTGGGAGGATCCCACATGCCGCGAAGCGGCTGGGCGCGTGAGCCATGGCCGCTGAGCCTGCGCGTCCGGAGCCTGTGCTCTGTGGCGGGAGAGGCCCCAACGGTGAGAGGCCCGCGTACCGCAAAAAAAATAAAAAAATTAAAAATGTGCAAGACCTCAAGATCAAAACCTACAAAATATTATGGAGAGAGAGAAAAAAAAGACCTTAATAGGGACTTCCCTGGTGGCACAGTGGTTAAGAACTCGCCTGCCAATGCAGGGGACACGGGTTCGAGCCCTGCTTCAGGAAGATCCCACATGGCTGTGGAGCAACTAAGCCCGTGCACCACAATTACTGAGCCTGCGCTCTAGAGCCCATGAGCCACAACTACTGAGCCCGTGCACCACAAATACTGAAGCCCGCGCACCTAGAGCCCATGCTCTGCAACAAGAGAAGCCACCGCAATGAGAAGCCCCTCGCACCGCAAAGAAGAGTAGCTCCCACTCGCCACAACTAGAGAAAGCCGTGTGCAGCAACGAAGATGCAACGCAGCCAAAGATAAATAAATAAAATAAATAAATAAAAGACCTTAATAAATGCAAGGTATACCATATTCAAGGATTAGAAGACTCAGAATTTGAGAGGTGTAAATTCTCCCCAAATTGACATTTAGAGTCAATATAATTCTATCAATATTCCAATAAGTTTTTATTTTGGTGAAATTTAAGATTCTAAAATTTATGTGGAAATACAAAGGGCCAAGGCATTATTGAAAAAGAAGGACAAAGAGGGAAAGTTTGGTCTGTAAGATATACAGACTTATTATTAGTTTTAGAAATGAAGACTGTGATATTGGCATACGAATAAATCAGTGAAACAGAGTAAAGAACCTTGAAACAGATCCCATCACATGTGAACATTTGATATATGGCAAGGGAAGCACTGCAGAGTAGTGGGAAAAGGATGGTCTTTAAAAAAAAAAAAATAGTGCTGGTAGGGAGATCAGCTCAGTGCTTTGTGAGGACCTAGACGGTAGGATAGGGAGGGTGGGTGGGAGGCTCAAGAGGGAGGGGATATATGTATGCATATAGCTGATTCACTTTGTTGTACAGCAGAAACTAACACAACATTGTAAAGCAATTATACTCCAATAAAGATGTAGAAAAGAAAAGAAGTATAAACATAATGTACACATGAAACTTATATAATGTTATAAACAAATGTTACCTAAGTAAATAAAATTTCCTCTTTAGTTTGTAAAAATAAAATAAAATTTTAAAGTGCTAGAACAATTGGCTATCTAAATAAAAAACAAACACTTTCTCACACTATATGTTAAAAGCAATTCTGGTAGATTATAGATTTAACATGAAAGGAAAAACAATGAAGCTTTTAGAAGATACCATAGGAGAATATCTTCTATCCAATATTTTCCTTGAGGAAAAATTGGATATATTTGATTACAGTGAAGCTAAGAATTTCTATTAATCAAAAGATACCATTAAGAAAGTAAAAAGGTCAGTCATAGAGCAGAAGATATTTGCAACACATATGATCACAAAAATGTTTCTATCCAGAATATATAAAGAGTTGCAAATTGGAAAGAAAAAGACAGACAACCCAGATGAAAATGTGCAAGAGATTTAAACAGGCTCTTACAAGAAGAAAGTCAATGGTCGTCTAGAGTCTGTCATACAGAGTGAAGTAAGTCAGAAAGAGAAAGACAAATACTGTATGCTAACACATATATATGGAATATTAAAAAAAAAGAAATGGTCATGAAAAACCTAGGGGCAGGACAGGAATAAAGATGCAGACCTACTAGAGAATGGACTTGAGGACACGAGGAGGGGGAAGGGTAAGCTGGAACAAAGTGAGAGAGTGTCATGGACATATATACACTACCAAATGTAAAATTGATAGCTAATGGGAAGCAGCTGCATAGCACAGGGAGATCAGCTCTGTGCTTTGTGACCACCTAGAGGGGTGTGATACGGAGGGTGGGAGGGAGGGAGACGCAAGAGGGAAGAGATATGGGGACATATGTATATGTATAGCTGATTCACTTTGTTATAAAGCAGAAATTAACACACCATTGTAAAGCAATTATACTCCAATAAAGATCTTAAAAAAGATAACAGTGACTTCTTTATAAGTCACTTCTTTTAAAATTACAACTCAGTATAAAAAGAAAAAAGAAAGTCAATGGTCATATGTCCATTAAACACATGATAAGATTTTCAACTTCATTAGTCATTGGGGAAATAAAAGGAAAAAACCCACAATATACTACTAGGCTAAAGATAAAAGTCTGACAATATCAAGTGTTGTCATGGGGCTTGACAACAAGGGAACCCAGTTCTCTCTGATCCAAAGTCTGTGCTCTTAACTTGAAAAAACCTCAGTGAGCAAGTGCTGATGTGGTGTCCATTCCAACAGTTGGACCAGAACCCTCTCAGGGACTCAGTGGTGGCTTCCATGTGAACTGTCTGACTGTAGGGTGAAGTTACCTTGGTAGGGAAATAGCGGCTGAATTTGAACTTCTTCAGGGTCAGGGTCATGGAGTATGTCCCGAAGAAAAGGATGAAGGACATGAGTGCCAAGTCTGGGATGAACTGGCAGGAATTCCCAAGTAGGCGCCCACCATAGTTCAAACACTCCTTTTTGCTCAGCAGGGACCAGTCCAACGCTGTGAGGTTAAGGGGGTTGTACTTGTAGACCAAGACAGGAGAGAAACAGTCAGGGCCTTCCTGGGAGGTCAGCTGTTTCCTCCCCACTGCAGTTTCCAGACAGCCCACGCACCCCTCCCACCCTCCAAGGGGCCCCAGCCCTCCTGCCCCATGATAGTGCCCAGCAACAGAGTGATGGTCCTGGGAACAGGCTGTTTCAAGGAATGACAAGCAGGAGGTTCCCTGGGAAGGTTAGGAGCTGACGTGTGCTTCTTCATTGTGTTCTAGGATGTACTGCTTTGTGAGTGAGGAGGAAAAGTGCAGGACTGGCTCCCATCTCAGTCAATCAACCATGGGTCCTGTCCACAACTCCTTCCTGGAGTGTCTCACATTTATCCTCCCCTTTCCTTCTTCTATGCACACACTTTTTGTGTGCACAGAAGAAGGAAAGGGGCTCACACCCCACCCTTGTCAGACCTCTCTTGGGTTAATCACTTCAGTCACTTGACCTTTGGTGTCCCAGATGCCTAAAATCCAGGGCACACAAAACAATTATATATATATTACACATTCCTATATATATTCTTATTTATGTTCCTAAGTATGTATAGGTACATATATTTATATATCTATATTCACACATGTATATTAATATATATGTTTCTAAGTGTAATAGAAGGAGAGTAATGTATAATAAAATTTAATTTATATTTTGAAAAATAAATGTGCAAATATTCAGGAACCTACATAATGAAGTAAACAGATGTTTGCAACTAGCCATAATGTATGTTTGTATTAAGAGAAGTGTGGTAGTTTGATATAATAACAGTCCCCAGTGGATCATGGCTCCCTGTGTCCACACTCCTCTGTGATGTGACATCAACCGTCCTCCCATCAAAAGGTGATTCCCCTTTGAATCTTAGCTGGCCCTGGGCCTGCTTAGATCAATAGACCAATAGAATGGGGATCAACAGACCAAGACAATGCGAATGCCCCCCGCAATGTAGCCGTGCCTCTACTGCCCCACTGGTCTGGCCCAACATCTCTGTCTTGACTTATTTCTCCTGATTTCCCTGTGTGATGCCCCACCCTCACTCTGTCTCAGCAGGACTGGTCCACCCACTGTCCTCAGGACAGATTTTGTGCTTTTCCTCTTGTGCCCTTCTGTCTATGCTGGTCCCTAGGCTTGGAATGTGCTATTCTCTATGGAACCAACTTTCCCAACCTTCAAGACCAGATCGCGTTCTACTTTCTCCATGAGGCTTTCTTCTCTAGTTTGCAGAGTGCGTCCTGCCTCCACTGCTGGAAGGATGCATTTGACCTATATTTGACGCACGGCACGCTCTACTTGTGCTGCCCGTTACTTTTTCAGGTTAATCTCCACATGCATATTACAAGCAGGTTGGAGGGCAAGGACCACATTTGTTTCTTAGATGTTTTTCGAACCATCACATCACCCGCACACAGCGCCTTACACATAGTAAGTATTCATACATAGGCACTGACTGATTCCATTTTTCCTCCCTCAAAATCAGATATTTGAGAAAATCTTAGGTTAAATTGCCACTGAGCAGTCAGCTGCCTGTGCAGGGTAAGTTAAGAGGCAAGCTTAGGGACACTAAAAGTCCGAAATTCTCCTCCCAGTACCTACCAGGTGCTACCCTTCACCTGGTTTTCTACTTCCCACCGTTAGTGCCACTTAGGCTAGGTGTCTTCTCCTGACGGCCGCTGCTCATCATTATTGGGAAAGGCAGACCAGACCAGGGGCCCTCAGAGACACGTGAGTGCAAAGGACAGATCAGATTCAGAGAGGGGGGAGCAATAATAAGCTTTCTGGGGCTGCAGGGTAGCATTGTTGGTTAGGAACTGGGAGTCCTCGGTACAAAGGCAGGGAAGAAGGCAGAAAGATGGGCGGGAAAGTTTACAGCCTTGCACAGCCCTACTTACCATTCCTCACCTCAACCCCACCCCACCCCACCCCCCCCCCCCCCCCCCCCCCCCCCCCGCCCCGCCCCCCCGTCGTGTGCGTGTGTGTGTGTGTGTGTGTGTGTGTGTGTGTGTGAGAGGGAGGGAGGAGGGGGAGGCTTGGCACAAGGATTTAAAAAAATGAGACAAAATAGGATTTTGACAGTATATACTTAAAAATATTCATTTTCACAGCTCTGCGGGTGACCCTGGTGTGGGTATGCAGCAGGGTTAATCTCTGCAAGTCTGGTCTAAGTTTCCCAAATCTTCTCAATCTCCCCACAAACAGAAGCCCTTGCATGTCTGACATGAAGAAAGGACTTACCAGAGAAGTGTTGGTGTTGGGTGGCGACGTGGCTGAAGCATTGAATGCGGTTGTGTTCGCTGTGGATGAGCACAGGACATGGGGAAAGGTCAGCACCTGCTGGGTGGGGATCCTGCACCCCACCCCGGGCCCCACTCTTTCCCATTTCCTTCCAGTTCCTTAGAGCCAAGGACTGGCTTTCATTGTGAGGGCAGCTGCACCCTTCACTCTCCTCACTTTGCTCAGGGAGGGCAGGGGTGGTGGGAGGGAGCCTGGGCCACAGCTCCGACAGTCTGGCTGGGCCAGGTTAGGACAGCTCCTGTCTGACATGGAAGGGCTGGCTTTAAAACCTGCTGCCAAGACGAGATGCTAACACAAGTGGGTAAATAATGTGCCTTGTGAATCCCTGCCACCCGCCTGACAAATGTCTGTGCTCTTAGACTTAATTCACATTTTCAAAGAACTTAAGTCTTTGCCACGCACTGTGCCAAACCCTTACGTACGTCATCTTGCTAAGTTCCTAAATCCCCAAGAAATTTCCACATTTTAAAGATGAGGTAACTGAGGCCCAGAGAGACTAAGTAACCTGCCCATTGCCCAAGGTCACGCAACTCACTCTTGGGGGAGCCGTTACCCATCCCAGGCAGGCTGGCCCAGAGCCTACACACCTCCCAGCTCTATACGACGAGCTTCCTTCCCTGCCCTGCTCCCCTCCACATACACTTCCTTTCTCTCCTGCCCTGTCCCTATGTTTTTTTTTTTTTTTTTTTTTCAGGTCAGCTGGGCCTGTAAGAACTTGTTGGGTATCTTCCCTAATCTGCCCATTAAATGCTAGCTGAGGAAAATTAAACCTGGGCCCAGGACTTGAAGGAGAATCAGGACCTCAGAGGTGCTGCTCTCAGATGTTCACTCTGCATCCCTTGTCCACAATCCCCTGCCCCAGCCTCAGTGTCCCTAAGTGGAGCAGAGGAGGGTTCCCTTCAGGGGCCATGCGACGAGTTGAGAGGAACTGTAATCCCCTGCTTGAGGGATGCAGCCATTTATTAAAAAGGCAGCTTTGGAGGTCACCCTTTCTCTTGCTCCTGCACTGCATGCATAGAGGAGAAGGGCCAGGTTCTCCTCGCCTTCATCCTCCAGGTGAAGACTGACTAAGCAGTTCCTCTGCAGCTGATTTAAGGAGGGAGGGAGGAGGCTCAGCCAGTTTGCTAGCAATAATCTAAATGCATCGCAAACCCCATTTAACTCCTGCTAGGAACCCAGAGGGAATAAGAGGTTATTCCTGAAGCTTCCTTCAACCTCTAACAAACTGTCATGGGGTGGATGTGATCACAGGGCCCTTCTATGTTGCCTACTTCTGGGGCAGTTGGGGCTGGGAGTGGCTAAGGAATTCAGTCTTGACCTAGGGCAGAATATTCTGAGAAGTTCTACAAACCCAGAGTTTTGTTACAACTATTCTAAAGAACGCTTCACTTAAGAGAAATCAGGGACATCTGCTGCCTTTCCTCACACTACTGACCAAAAGAACACGATGCACAGTTAACAATGGAGCAGGGACGGCGAGCAGGAAGGCTGACTCAGGGGTCCCCTCACAAATGCTACAGGACCCCCAGCTAACACTCGAGCCTGGTGAGTGTAGATGCGCTTCCATTGCCCAAGGTTGTCAGATCAGACATTCTTTTGATGTCTTCTGCTTAGGCTTTGCCATTCTTTTATATCGAGAACTTTGTGAGGTTTATCTGAAAGCCACTTTGAGATGAAGAAGGAAGAATCATAACATGAAAAATCCTAGAAAGGGTCCAAGTATCAAATATTTTTAAATTCTAGTGTTTACAAAGTGGTACTCACTTGGGATTGAAAGCAGCCAAGTCAGTGTGTGCAGCATCAATAAATAGAATACAAATCAGTTACAATGGAAACAAGATTAGATTAAGAAGCGTTCCCGAAACAAGCTCTGACTGATAAAGAGTGACAAAGAGTGATAGTGTGCCACCGTCAAACTGGGTTTTGCAGTAGCACTAGGATTAGGGAACAGTTCGTAAAGGAGTGGCCCATGGACTGGGAAAGAAACCCTCCTAGTTAGCTCCCCCCTCTCCAGTGTCCTAAACATCTAGAATTTTCCCTTTCATATTCTCCTAATCAAAACTAACTTGTCCTGTTTCCAGTTCCTTTACTCTCCACGAAGAAACTGAAAACCTAATCTCACTATGGCTAGTTGCTAATAATGACTCAGTTTAATAGAGCAGTAGTTCTCAAACTTAAGCATACGTGAGAATCACCCAGAAGGCTTGTTAATATACAGATGTCTCTACCCCAGAGTTTCTGATTCAGCAGGTCTGGGGGGGGGGGGAGGGTGCCTGAGAATTTGCATTTCTAACAAGTTCCCGGATAGTTCTGATGCTGCTTCCAGGGACCAACTTTGAGAATCATGGCGATAGCATGACCCAAAGGAATGAGGTGACATTAGGCACCTGGGCAAGGCCAGAGGGGACACTATTTGGAGGTAGGTGGATCCTATCATAGTTCTCAAATCCTACCTGATGTGCCCTGTTCCTAGGGAACCCCTATGTTTGGTTTCTCCTGTGGACAGATGATTCCCAGAATGGCCGAAGTTCCACATATGACCCTAGAATTTGGACCATTTCTGAAAGAAATTAAGGATGTGTACTTCCAAAAGCCATGTTGGTGGGAACGTTTGTGTTCAGTGCAATGGGTCTGTAGTCCAGAGGGTGTGAGCAGAAAACAAAAGTGCCCTGATGGGGCTTAGTCCACAGAGGTGGGATTTGCTCTACAGTGTGATGACAAGAGCCTGCAGGGAGGATCTCCTCACTCCCCTGGGCAAGCAACATGCCCTGGCTCAGGACAACAGACAGCTTCACCTACTGCTGGGTTTTAATGAAATAACTGAAAATGAATTATAGAAAAAAGAAGAAGAGAAAAAAATTGTCTCGATATCTTTACAAATTCAGAGCAGTGACAGAGGGTGAGAGGGTACAACCAAAACTATGTTCCCTGATGTCAGACAACTTTATCCTTACAAGGCCTAGTCTAAAGTAGAGTGCACAATAATTGTGCAACAAATATTTTTGGTTGACTTATCAATATTTTTTATCAGTTGTATGCATTAAGGTGCTGAACAACACGGTAACTACTTATGTGAAATGCCAACTGAATCTGAGTATAGATATGAAAACCTCACAAGCGTTCCATGAGACTGGAAGGGCCAGCATTGATATCCTCTAGGGAAACTGACATTTGGTGTGACCTTGGGTGTCTCTGGACCTCAGTTTTCTCTGTGAGTCCAGCCTGGTGGTGCTAAGAGGTATGTGGATGGCTCTCTAGCCTCTGCTCTATAGCATCCTGGGCACTCTGAGCATGTCCCACTGAAAGCTCTTAGGGGCATGATTCTGACTGCAAAAGAGGCCAGTGGTTCAGCTATGGACAGTCCTAACTTTACAGATGACACTTTTTTGGTCAGAAGGGGACTTCACAGGAATGGGTTGACCATTTGGTTGATTCAGCCTCCCACCCAGCATAGGGATCCTTTTTACGATACCTCTGGCAGATGGATATCCAGGTAGTGTCCAAGAAGCTTGCTACCACCCGAGGGGGCCAATACCTCTCAGGGTGGTGGCTTCCACCACTGTTAAGATATACCTTGAATTCAGCCAGCGCTTGGCTCCTGGAGATTTTGTTCTTCAGCCCTCATTCTTCATCTTATAGTTACACAGGGTGAATCTGGCCCCTCTGTGTCATGACAGACTTTCTCTCATACCTCTCTAAAAGCCTGGATAACCCCAGGTTCTCGAACCATTCTTTAATGACATAGTTGCCAGGTCCTCCTCCACCCTGACTAGTCCTCCACCCTGGACATGTCCCCATCTGTAGGGATGTTCATCCCTCTGGTGTGAACACACTGGCAGTGATGTGTCAGGGAGAACTCATGGTGTCATGTGCTCATGGAGCTGGGAGGGACTTCAGGCTCCATCAGGTCTACCTCTGGCCTAGAGCAGGCCTCTGGCCCGAGTAGCATTTCTGACTGGTGTGGCCTCCACATTACTCCACACTGAGGCCAAGCATGCCTTCTTCCCTTCCTGGGGTATCGCTATCACTGCTTCCTCCTGACTATGACCCTGGGCTCTGGCATTGTGATCCTCATTAGAGTTCCTGTCCCCTTGATTTCCTTCCAAAAACTGGTTTAAGACCCTGTATTTGCTCCTTTGGGACAGAAAGTCCTTGGATGAACAGCCCCTCCCAAGCAGGCTCTTGCTCCTGCCTTTGAGTAGACAACGGGGTGGAGGGGAGAGGCAGAGGGGGAGTGGGTGTTAGAGGGGAGTGGGGAGTGGGTGGGGGCCTAGGGCACCTCTGGGTTTACCGGTCACCTGTGTCAGGGGCGACGCACTCGCATTTGTAGATGGTGATAGAGTCAGGCTTGAAGTTCATGTTGATGGGGTAGTACTTGAAGGCACCAATCATCTTCTTAATGGCATCATAGATGAAGATGAAACTGATGAGGGTGGAGAAGCCCTCCTCAGTGAAGCGGGTGATATACTTGATGATAAAGCTGGCATCTGTGGCCACCAGGATAAGGCACTGGACAGCTGAGTGTAGGCCAATCCAGAGGCGGAACTCCATGTAGTCCAGGCCATTGCCTCTGGAAAGCAGAGGGAATCGAAGGGCCTCCAGCCCAAGGCTCTTGGCTGTGCTCGGCTCCCCAGACCCACCCTGGGTGCCTCATCTGCCCCTCCTGTGGCACGGATGCCCTCCTAGGAAGTACAAGAGGATTGGGGATGGGGACAGTTCCCGGGTGGGGTTGTCTGGTCTTTGAGAATTCTGGGAAAGGCTCCCATGGGATGGCAGAAAGGTGCTCGCACACTTCGGTTCTTACACATTTGGTAACAAACACCAGAGTGAATGAAAAACAGGGAAATTTCAGAATGACACAGCTGGAGCAGACCTTAGAAATGTTGTAGGTGAGGCAACTGAGCCCAGAGCTGCATGAGTCAGGGTATAGCCTTCTGACCTCCAGCTTGAAACTTTTTATACACTCACTGCATTGACTTTCAAGTCATAATTGCTCATGAGCAGAGCAGTGTGAATTCTCTCCTCTTGTCTTGCCTGGATTTCTCCCCATGGGCTGTGCTAATATGCACTAAGGTGGCTTAAAGGCAGATATCGGAGGGAGTCAGGAGGGACCACTTGGCAGTGCCTCCTACAGGTAAAGACAGCTTTGGTACCTTCTCACCTCACCTCCCCCTTGGGGCTCTTCCCCTACTCCAACCTTGGCATACTGTCCCAAGTGTGAGAGCAGGCACTGGGGGCCACCAAGGGCACCTACTTGCTGAAGTCGAAGAGGAGCTTCTCGAAGATGAGGATGGGCCCTGTGCTGCTGAGGATGATGAGAGGCTGTCCCGAGAAGAGGCAGAACAAGGAGCCAGCCATGGCAGTGCCCAGGAAACTCTCCATCACTCCCTGGGGGCAGGAGGAGTGTTAGGCTCAGTAGAGGTGTGAGAAAGGGGCCTCTCTGACAGGTTAGACCCCAGTTATCTCAGCAAGGGCCACAATGCTCGTCCTTTATCCTAGGTCCTCTCCTCCTCAAATTCTGCTCCCCATCTCTGACTCCACAACCTCACATAATTGCCAAGCATCACTCTCTAATTCTAGGTCCCATGTGACTTCCTTTTGTCACCCTAGGGCCTAGAAAACAGGGCTGCCAATGGTCGTGCTTGTTCCTGTGCCCATTCTACTCCCAGAGGACAGTCCATTCATCCACCCAATCATTTATTAATTCAGAGATCTAGCAGGTGCTTTTAGAGGTCAGACCATTCATTCATTCATTCATTCAAAAATCTATTAAGGGCCTACTATGTATCAGGCATTGTGCTAGACATGGAGAACCCAGGAACAAACAAGATAATGCATCTTCATTCTAGTGGGGGATACACACAAGAAACTAGGCGATTTCCATACAGCAGAGTTTCTTAACCTCAGCACTACTGACATTTCAGGCTAGATAATCCTTTGTTGTAGGGGGCTATCCTGTGCATGGTAGGTTGTTTATTAGCATCTCAGTAGCACCTCACTTCCCAGTTATAAAAACCCAAACTGTCTCTAGATGCGACCCAATGTCTCCAAGGGGTCAAAATCGTCTCTTGTTAAGAACCACTGCCAAGAAATATGATAAGGCTGGATAAGGTAGGAGCATACAGTAAGAGTGAAGGGTTGGTCAGGAAAGCCTCCCAAGAGGTAGATACACGGAAGCTGAGAACCAAAAAATGAGCAGAGAATTGACCAGGAGAATAGGGTAAGTGGATGAGAAAGAGTGTGCCGGGAAGGGCAACAGTATGCACAAAGGCTGGAGCTGAAAGGGAGCACGTCTTTGAAGAACTGAAAGATGATCAGGATTGATGGAAAACAGAATGCAGATGAGTGAGGAGGACAGGAATCTGAGAAAGGGAATACTGGGAGATGAGGCTTGAGAGGCAACTAGGACCATGTCATGAGGGCTACTGGGGGAAGCTGGGATTTATGAGTCAAGGATGATGTGTGAATATCTGGGTCAACCATGGTGTCGCTCATTGGCTGGGGGGAGCAGCAGGTCTGGAGGAAAGGTAATGGATGCAATGTCGGCCCTGTGAGTTGGGGGATCCCAAAGGGCAGCTATGTGGACATGCCCAGGAGGCAGCCGGATACTGAACCTGCCGCTCAGGAGAGTGGTGTGGGCTGGAGATAGGCACTCATCTTAATTTATCTGGGAAAGTGGGTCTTCACCTTGGTGCTCCGAGCTTTCCAGTGATACTATCCCAAAGGCCCCCAACGGAGAAGACCCTTGTCTGGGTCTCAGGCTAGTGTCTCTGCTGAACTGTTTTCCCCAGGTATACCTGTGTTGTTGTCATGGTAGACATTTCTAAAAATGTCTTAACTTCAAGCTAAGAATTTAAGGTTAGTTTTTTTAAAAAGTATGGGAAGAAGGTCACAATTAGCAACTCAATTAATTGTGCTCATTAAATTCGTTAAAGCATCAGTAGGAAAATTATCAACTAACAAAGCAGATGATTTCCCCTTAAACATTTGTTCTATTTACATAATCTTTAAATTTGGTCTTTAGTAATATGATTAACTTTAGACCTTTTAATTATGCCAGCTTGTTATTATTTTTCTCAAGGGTAAAGGATTACAAAAAGTGATGGTCTGAACCTGGATGGTAGGTCAAACCCAAACCTTGGTTTTGGGATTATGGGAATAAGCTCCTTACCACTACCTGGTGGCAGCAGATTTTTCTGAGGTTTGCATGCATGTCCCCAGCTCACACACACCTGATAGTTGTCAGTGGCATCCCCCAGAAGCCCACCAAAGGTGATTGCGTTGGTAATGCAGCCGAGGTAGATGAATAGGATGGCAGAGATGGACTGAATGTGGAAGCCATCGTAGAAGTCACTTGGGAACCAGGGCAGCTTCCTCTTGACATCCAGACGCAGGCCACCGAAGAACCTGCTCAAGACAGGCCCAGATACTGCTTTCTCACCACAGACACCAGTGCAGGGGCAGGGCTCTTTACAGGAGCCTGCAGAGTCTGCAGTGAGGAGGGGAACTTGACTAGGGGTGGATGGGGAAAGGGATCTTTCCACCAGAACATTTAAGACCAGGGAAGAATTCTGTCATTAAACTGAGTTTGTGGTTGGCACCATCTCCCCTGGGAAGGGTGGTCACAGACAGCCTGGGTGGGGGAGAGAAGGCCTTATGGGAATATGTATTGGGGTAGACCTAACATTTCACAGGGAATGGAACTCCTGGGGACCATAGACGGCTATCCTCCTCACGTCCCTGATCATCCGCAGGGTGCCTGTGCTTGGTAAACATAGGTGTGTCCAGCTCTAGGAGATGGAGAGATCCTGGTTTATAACAGGTTCATCAAGGGCAGATTCCGAACCTTATAACTGGTTTCCTTGCTTTGTGGAACAAACAAGTGGGGAATTTTAGGTTTAGGGAGAATGTTTACTGGGGACGCTAGTCTCCATAGCTCCTAACACAGTGCTTAGCACAGAGCAGGTTTTCTCAACCTTGGTACTGTTGACACTTTGGACTGGATAATTCTTTGTTTGGGGGAGGGCGGTCCTGTGCACGGGAGGATGTTGAGCAGTGTCCCTGGTCTCTATCTGCCAGATACCAGTAGCATCTCCCCTCCAGCTGGGACAAACAAAAATGTCTCTGAACATTGCCAAGTGTCCCCTGGGTGAGGATGGGAGTGGGGAGTAGGTAAAGTTGGGAACCACTGGCAGGCAGAGAGCCAAGGGCATAAAAAACATGACTCGTTCTCAAAGTTATGATTTACACATAGCTTTGCAGGGCTGTGTCCTTTCCTAAATTCAGATCTACCCAAGTTATTCTAAGAGCTGGCAAAGAAATGAAAGCCAGGAAAATTTTCTATTGTTTTCTTTTAAAACAAGTTTCTTGACTAGGTAACAAAAGGTTAAAAAAATTCAAAAGGTATTCTTATGGGTTGAATTATGTCCCCAAAAAAGATATATCAAAATTCTAACCTGTAACTGTGACCTTATTTTGTACATGTAATCAAGTTAAGATGAATTCATTAGGGTGGGCCCTAATCCAATAGGACTGGTGTCCTCATAAGAAGAGGAAAATGCTATACGAAGACAGAAACCCAGGAAGAACACCATCTGAGGACACAGACAGAGATGGGAATGGGGCAGCTGCAAGCCCAGGCACACCAAGGACTGCTGGCGACCACCAGAAGCTACAGAGAGGCAAGGAAGGGTTCCACCCAGAATCTCAGAGGGAGGATGGCCCTGCTGACACCTTGATTGGGAAATTCTAGACTCTAGAACTGTGAGAGAATACATTTCTATTGTTTAAACCACCCAGCCTGTGATACTTTGTTTCCGCAGCCCTAGGAAACTAATACAGGTAACAAAGGGTGTCCTGAGAAAAGTTTGGGTTCCTCCACTAGCTTCCCCTTTCCTGCCAGATCCAGGAGGGGCTTTGAGGGCTGGGGAGGAAGAGCCTGCGTTGACCAGATCCCAAGGCCAGGAGTGGGTGCTGCTGACAGAGGTGGAGAAGGTTCCTAAACGGTGGGTGAGGAGAAGAGAAATCTAAGACAACTGGTGTCGCTGTCAGGCCTGGAGCGGGCACCTTCCTGTCCAGATGAGCTCTTCCCCGATCTCGTGCACGGTTGGCATCTCTCCATCATCCCCACTGCTCCCTCCGCCGGCCCCACTGCCGCCGCCGCCTGCAGCGCCGCCGCCTCCAGCCCCTCCGCCGCTTCCCGTCACAGAGCCGTTCATCTGACCTAGCTCAGTCAGGGAGAACACGGATTTCCTGGAAGGAGAAGGGCGACAGGGGACAGTGGGGCTCCCAATCCTAGGAAGAGATCAGCACCTCCAGGACTGTCCTCACAACTCCTTTACCTTTCTAACTAACATCATCAAATAGTTTAAAATACAGAGAGAAATGCAGAGAATGATCTAGCAACACCCACACACAGATCACCCAGGTTTTACAGATGGTCACATTCAGCATATTTGCTTCTGATTTTTTTTTCCAGAGAAATAAAGTGAGACTGAAAAAAAAAGGTATAAACCCATGTACGCTGACATCTTTCTTTCAAATCCAAAAAAAGAAACGGACAGACTGAAAGCTCCCTCTGACCCGGCTCCCCGCTTGCCACCCCTCCATTCATACACACCTCTTGTCAGCAGAAGTCACCTTCTTGGGTGGCTCAATTCGGATATTTGGGTCCCACTCTCCAGGGGGGAGCACGATGACCTCGTCTAGAAACTCATCAATCCCTGCGATCAGATCCTCCCGATTCCTGGCCTTGTAGGCCACGTCGCTGAAGAGCTGGCAGGGAAAGAGGCAGAGGAAGAGAAAGGGCCGCTCTCTTGCTGCAGTCATCATCTCATCCACCTCCCGGGGGCACAACCACATACACTTTCAAAGAAAGTCACTTTGAGCCATTACTCCAGCTGCCAATTTGTTCTCAGTTTCTGAGATGAGAACAACGGGGCAGTTGAAACATAGCACAGTGGGGACAGTGGGACATGCAGCAAGGCGGCTCTTCCTGGACCTGAAGGCCAGGTCTCTGTATTCCAGTTGTCCGACCTGGGTTGAGTTACTTACTTAACCTTTCTGCTCTCAGTTTCCCACAGAGCGAGCTCCTCAGAAAACCCACGCAGAGCCCAGTAGGAGAAGCTCAGGTATTTCAAATCTGTTTTAACATCCCAGCCCTTCATCTTTGGAGGGTCAGGCTGCATCGTTCCACACTGTCTCCAGAGGGTTCTTTCTGACTTTACAGATCTGATTGGGTTGCGCTCGTGTTTAAACTCCTCTAGGCTCCCTGTCACATAGTGTCAACTCTCAGCTCTGCCTACAGGCTCCGTATAGTATATGGCTCCTCTCTCTGGTGTTACCTCCTGCTCTTGATGCTCTTACGCTGAGCCTATATCAAACCACTTCCATCCAGCCCCTCCCTCTCCGAACCGTGGCCCTTTGCCTGGAATGCCTGCCTCCTAGGTTGGGGCTCATCCTTAGCTTTAAAGCCCCCTCGTGTGTGAAGGGCCCGTTGACTGCCTGGGTGGTTAGCACATGGTTCCCTCTAGGATTGTAGGTCTATCTCTCCCACTTGATTGGTGCTCCTAAAGGGCAGTGACTATTCCCTCATTCTTGTAATCCTCACACCCTGCACAGGGTCTGGCATACAGTAGGCGCTCAAACGTGACTTGTTGGATAAGTGAATGAATGAAGGCACAGCGTTTGACGCGGCAGCCATGACGTTCAGGAGTACATGCTTCTCGTGGCACTTACGTCGTCTACCATGAGGGTTGCAATGGCACGGCCAATTTCATTGTAGGATTTTGCTCTCCCAGAAGGTCCCAGCAGTATGAACAGAAATCTGCAAAGAAGATGGAGGAGGAGGGGGAAAGTGAGAAGGAAAAGTAAAAGCAGGTGGAGAGAAGGATGTTCTGGCCCTAAATAGTATCCATTCTTAATTTTTTAACTGGGCAGAAACGTGTCCCTTCCCTCCTCTGAATCCCGTATTTGCTTTGGAGAGACATTCCTCTTCACTCCCACCTGAGCATCTTTGCCACGCCCTGGCATCCCAGAGCTCACCCAGCAGTGCTTCTCCCAGCTGCTGGCTACTTCTTGTTTATGATTATTTTAAATAAATTCTCTCAAATTCTTCCTGAGTCAGATTGCCATCGCCATACAGTTCCCTACTTTTCCTTCTTCGATTTAGGGGTGTCTCCAACTGCACTACTAGCTGACTGTATGGACAGCTGGCCACCCAAGGGTGGGTATGGTGGGCAGATTTCAATGGCTCTCACCTGGTGGGGACAGGCACCTCGGTCACTCCTCCCAGCATGGCTGACTGGATGAGACGCACGAAGGCAATGAATGGCTGGTCCAGGAAGTCCACCTCGCCCACGAGCACATTGGAGGCTTCTGAATCCTTGGGGATCTTCTTCATGAATTTGTTTTTCCGCTGGTCAGTGAGGGGGACACGAGATACCCATGGATACTCACGTGCAGTGGTTTCGGCTCTCACTCAGCCCGTTCAGACTACTGTGGAGCCCTAACCTTACAAAATTCTCCCAGCGTTTCTCAAGAGACTGAAGGAAATAAGCCGACACTCTCCCACAATCTGCAGATGAGGAGACTCAAAGTTGGTTAACCCCAGGGACCAATGAAGCCTTTCGTAGATGGGAAGGAACAGGCAACGACTTGACCCCCTAAGATGTTCCTTGATGGGCGAAAACCTTGTTCTACTGAAGTGTGAGTTGAGGGGTCAGAATAGAAAGTCAGGGCTTGCTGGACATCAGGTCTCTTCCCCCAGCAGCAGCTCAAGCAGATGGGAGTCTCGGCCCTTACACTCCAGCTACCCAGCCCTCCCTCTCTGCCTTTACCCTGGATGGCCGTGGGAGGAATGAGACCATCCTGATGGCCAGAGTGGACACACTTTGTTTTATCTTTACCACCAGCTTCCTGGCTGACAGGAACCCCTGGACCTGGGGGTCCAAGCCTGTGAGAGGCTTCTGTGCCCCCAAGTCACCCCTAGAGGACCTCCCAGGAAACTCATAGCTTCTGAGCCTTTCCAACTGAGACTATTGAAGTACCCTCTATCCAGTCCCTCTGGCTGGTGTCTAGTCAGGGCAGGAAGGTCAAATAGGAAGAGTGAGTGGGGTCCAATGTGAGAGGTGCTGGAGACAAGCCCTCTGCCCCAAATCAGCCCCACTCTCTGCGGTCATGACTTTCATCCTATGGATAAGATGCCAACTCCTCCGGAGCCCTCTCTTATGATGAAAGTGCCCAGGGGTGGTCACATACGCACTCTTCTTAGTCTTTAACATCTTAGGGTACATTCGTTTTTCAGATCACTTTCCCTCTGGGCAGCAAGGGGATAGGCAAGAGACAGAGATAGTTTCATAGAGAGAGGTGGGGAAGGAGTGTTTGGGGAGGACCGGGCTGGTGGGAGTCCACAGTGGCCAACAAAGGAAGAAAGGGCCCAGGAGGTGGAGGCAAGTGGTACAGAGAGATTCTGCGGACGCCACAATTTTGCCACCTATTCCCCCTTGATGGGAGTCTCTCTTGTGGGCACAGAAATGTTTGTTTCTCATAAGCTCAGTGAAGATAGTTTCCTTCTGTCCCTGGAGAGGGGTCAGTTATGGGCGTGGGCATGGCCAACAGGTCTTGCCCCTTTGGGCCCACAGCCATTTCCTGATTTGACTCGTGGGGGACGAGATACATACTGGGCGGGGGACCTACCAGCACTAGAAAAGGCTTGTGAGCAAGGGCTGCACCCTTATAATCTTTTAAATCCCTTAAGAAACATAAAACTCTCCACAACCACCTGGGCAACAGCCCCAAGGACCCTAACGCAGTGAGAATAAGCCACAGCACGCGTTAATGGGAAGGCCAGAATCCCCACAACTCAGAAAGTCCCTTTGTCCCAGGAGCAGTTAGCGGGTTCATAAGCAGGTTCTTCAGGGTGGAGTTCTGGGTGTGCCAGGGCAGCCACTGTCTCCCTGCCAACTCCATGTCCCTGGGCATCAGGCAGGGAGCAAGTCGGTGGCAGGAGTGCCCTGGAGAACAAGGTTTTGAAAACGGCAATGCTCTGGAGTGGCCCATGCAGCACGCTCAAAACCATGAGCAGAGAGGAGTTAAAACAGGGCCTTGGTCCTCCCTTGTAGTCTGTCACCCCAGTAAGGAGGCCAGAGTTGTGGCATCCCAGAAACAGGCCATTCTGGTGTTCTGGCCACCCTGGCTTGGTGATGGTCTGGCCACGGGCTTGTCTAACCAGGGTCCTGCTGACCCCACTGCCTGAACCCAGGGGACCCTGGTCCAGCTCTGCTGAGTCACTGCACACAGCGACGCTGTTTGAATCCACACTCTGCTCACCGGGAGCTCACTGGAACTCAGGGCCAATGTGGAGTGGTGAAGAAAGTTGCACCTAAAGAACGGCCAGTGCTGCTGCAGATACTGAGAAGCAGCATCACACAACCAGTTAGGAGAGTCGGACGCTGGAGCCCGGTGTTGGGTTCCAACCCCTAAATCAAAGGCAGCATTGCCGGGGGAAAGTAGCAGATCGTATTCTTCTTACCACATAGGTAATGAAAAATAGGTTGTGAAAAACTTTTACTAGGCAGCGCTTCCTTATAACGGCTCCACTGTCTGTGTGCATGACTATAGTAAAGTGGGGTTCTTCTCTAAATAAGATTCCAGAATACTCGTTCCTAAGTCACTCCCAAATTAAGGGCTCTAGAGTCACACTGCCTGGATCAAATGATGGGTGTGCCACCTTTCAGCTGCATGAACTTAGGCCCGTTATTTAACTGCTTTTACGTTCTCATCTGTAGAGTGGAGATGATATAGTACCTTCATGATGCACAGAAAACGCACCGCACAATGTAGTGCAGGAAATGTGTGGACCTCAAATGTTGGTTGATGCCGTTATTATTGTTATTTTATTATTTTGGCCACCAAAGGGCCCCGGAGACACTGACATGAGGGAATACTCTTGTTTTGCCTTCCACCAAACTTGGGACTGCCTTGGAGGCCTGGAGGTCACCGAAGCTCCTGAGGAGTAGGTGCCAAAGTTCAGGTTTCCCTCATCACCTTCCTTCCCACTCCTGGGGGCACAGGCAAGGAGACCTTGGGACCTTCCGCCCCTGAGATGTGAATGTTTGGAATTGAGGGAAGCCTCCTCTGGGCTTCCCTTGGGGGCACAGTCATGGGGGTCCTGGGCTGTGGGCTTAGAACTTGGACTCAACTTGTTTGCGGGATTCTGATCTCATCAAGGAGGTTTCAGACAAGCTGGTGGGAGACAAGAACTGACTTTATCCGGCACTAGCCAAGGAGAAGATACACTGTTGGGCAGTCCAGTTGATTCACTATCATTATTGTCCCCACAGGGAGGCCCCACTGCTTTTCTCTACCAGCCCAAGCCCCCACTTCCTCCTTAAAACTGTTTGTGTGTCATGGAGGAGGTGAAATTCTGTGTGGCGGTCTTCTCTCTCCAATAAACCCCAAAGTCAGGGATAGCTGGCATTTCATCTGATCACACTTCTCTGTCCCCTACTCCTTCCAGGGCCTGGCACAGAGCCGGCACCCAAGTGTTGGACTGGGCTGGGTCACCAAGGCAACCCGGAGCCCCACCCGCATCCTTCCTGGGGACTCCCACTTTTTCACGGGAGTAGAGTTTTGCCTGTAGGGGCTCCCTACCCCTGAAACCAAAGACTTCTTCCTGCCCTGGCCCTCCACAGCAGCCAGGTGCAGGGGCTTTACTACCTGGTCTGTATTTGGGGTGAGAGAAATATCATTCATGCTTCTGCTCTGGGCGTGACCTAGGAGAAAAGGAAAAGAAGGTCCATCAGGGGAAGACAGGTTCTCGCAGGCCCTTTCCTCTTGGTCTCTACACAGGCTTTTCCCATCTTCACAACCAAAGCGAACCCCCCTCCCCTAATCCTGCAGCCCCTTTCAGCAAGCATTCTCTCTCTTTTCTTCTTTTCAATGGCAGCTTTCTTAAAAGAATTGCTGGGCCCCAGGTTCTACTGCGTCCTTCTCACTCCTCAGTGTGCTACGCCCTGGTCCCAGCCCTCCGCCCTGCCTTCTTGGGCAGAGACTAAGATGCTGCTCTGTGCCAGGCCCTGAGGTGGGGAGGGACAGACACACTATTGGGTAACGAGCCAGGTGTCACTAAGCTTGGGCCTTGTTGGAGAGAAAAGAGCAGTTTCACCTCTGTCCTCCATGACCCATGCGAGTCTTTAAAGACGGCTGGGGATTTGGGCCAGCAGAGGGAAGGAAGGTGGGGCTCCCCATGGCGAGAACAGTGGTGGTGAGCTATTCGAACAGCTCCTTCCTCCATTAAGGCAGAAGTTCAGCTCTCATTTCCCACCAGCAGCCACATCCAGTGAGCCCTCTCAGGCTTTCTGTGGTCTGTGGTGTCCCCGCACTTCCAGACTCTGCGTTCCCTCGGCTCCCCTCTCTTATTTCCATCCAGGATTCTCTCTTGCTGGGCTCTCCTCAGGGCCTTGCTTTGCACTCAAACCCTCCAGAGGCCTCACCCCCGTCCTCCTCGGTCAGTCCCATCCCCTCCTGTTTCATCCCCATCCACATTTGTGCTGGGGATGCCCAGGTTGGGTCTCCAGTCCAGATCTGTCCTGAGCTCCAGATTCCTCTGAGCAGCCTGACCTGGCAACTCAAACTCAACACACCTGAAACGAAACTCGTTGTCTTCCATCAAATGTCTCCCCGCATAGACCCCACACCGCCAGTGCTTCCTCCCCCTTGTCCACCGGCAATCAGAGCAGACCAGGAGCCAGCCTTGACGCCTCCCTCTTCCTTATTTCCCACTTCCCACCAGTCGCTGAAGCCCAGCGGGGTCCTTCTCTCTGTTCTTGCTCTCACTGCCCGAACACGGTCCCCGTCTCTTGCTCCCAATAGTTCAGCCCCTCCTAGTTTATTTCTCAAATAAAAATCTAACCATGATACGTTCCTGCATAAAACTTCTCAGGAGTCCCCATTACCCTCAGAATACAGGCTGGGGCCTTTTGCAGGATTCATAGGCCCCTTTTGATTGGACCCTCTTTCCCTTAGAGCCTGGTGAACTGAATCACCCTGTTTCCCCGAATATGCGGCACCCTTCACAGCACCTTCCCTTCACCTGCTGTTTGTTTCCTTTGTTCTAAAGAACACCCTCTTCCTCCCCCATGCTACTGGAAATCTTCTATTTATTCTCCAAGACTCAGGCAAGTGTCTCCTCCTCTTTGAGCCTTCCCAGGTGCCACCCTGGGGTGGGGAGGTGTGCACACAAAGCTGTAATCACTTATTCATGTCTTTTATCCAGGTCCCCCCCACAGCAGCATTGGTACTTCATATATAGTAAATAACAGAGCAGAAGGCTCGTCCCAAAGCCGTTCACTGTCTCTGACTGCCAGCATCCCTCTGTGGAATAACCAAGACCAGGGAGACTAAGAGCAGGGGGTCACTAAGAACAGAGAGAAAAGACCGTGACAAACCCCTGCCGGGGCAAAGGTCACATCACTGTCACTGTCCTGAAGCATTCCTCTGGCCTGGTCAGGGGCACAGCCCTGGGATGTGCTTGTTCGTATCTTGTCATTCTAGTAAAAGTATTTAAAGGAAAATACTCCTTCACACTGCTTCTTCTTTTCACTTCCCAAGTTCCCTCTTTTCTTTGCCTCACAGCTCACCTGTCTCTTCAGCCCTGATGAATTGCCTGACAAAAGCCGATCTGTGACCATGCCCCTCACAGGCTCCACTCACCCAGTCACAGCCCTCAGGGGCTGCAGCTCCACCAGCATTTCACTGTCTGGGGCCCAAGACGGTCATCCAGGGATGGGAACATTCTCTGTCCTGGGGCAAAGGACCTAGCCTGCTTTTAATTGTTTCTAGGAAGACTTCTCACCAAAAACAGGGCTAATGAGCAGTTTGGTGAGAATAAAGCCATAGACTAAGTTAAAAATGCCTAGCACACAGGATTGGGTATTGATTATGACAGGACTTGATTAGAGCTGCAGTTTTTGGAGTAATTATTTAGAAAATTATGGTAGTAAGTTAGACTCTGAGGGCAGCCCAGGTTTAGGGTGAAAGTTAGATTTCTTCTGATGCCTGAGAGTTCTAGACAGACCCTGGGCTTTACCTCCTCTGCTATGAAAGTATGAAAATTGACTCCAGAGTGGCCACAGCCAGGACGAAGCTGCCACACAGTGGCAGAGAAAGAAGATACTCACACAGGCGGCCGTAATTTGCGCTTTGCCGCATCCTCAGGTCCTCGGTGGAGTGGTGTAGGCTGGGACCCGCCGCGGGGCTCCGGCCTGGGCTGCGATCTGGGAGGAGGAACAGAAGAGATTTGACTTTGGCCGACTTGCTGGAGTGGTGCAGCTTCTTCCGTTAGCACAATTCACGTTTACAATCATGTCACCTAAATTAAGCTGGGCTGCCAGACATGTCTCTTCCCCTTCTAGGAAGAAAGGATGTTCTGGTTTTGGTTCTTGTTTTTCAGGATTTTTCTAAGCAAGTGAATAGCCTGAACATGATTAGAGAAAATATTTGTACCTTTGAAAGTGAAATAGATATACAATTGATTAAATAGACACCAGGTGGTGTAGATGACCCCTGATCCCACAACCTCCTGGCCGTGTGATCTTAGGTAAGTAACTTAACCTCTCCGTGCCTCAGCCTCCTCATCTGTAACCTGGGGATGATGAGAACAGTACCTAGTCATGGGGTTATTGCGAGGATGAAGTGAGTTAATACACGTGGAGCGCTCAGACAGTGCCTGGAACACAGGTAAGTGCCAAGTACGTACCCACCGTAGGCTAAACATTTTCCATTTAAAATAATTCATCTAAGGAGATTCCTCAAGTCTCTTTAGGTAGCAGCGTTATCAACTTTGTACTGATTATTGCATTTATCTGACAGGTCCAGCAAGGCTAGTGTCTGGGCATCTCAACTCTGGGCTATCAAGAGTGGAGGGTTGCAGGTTTGAGATGCGTGCATAGAACAAGCCACCAGCGTATGGCCCGACTCACTGGTGGTGGAGGAGACTGACTTTCCAATGTCAACCAAGGAGCGGTGGATGGGCTTCTTGGTTTGGTGACGGTGTTTCCTCAGTAGGACGTAGCTGACCCTCTCTCGGAGCTCTGGCCGAAGGAGGCCGTCCTCGATTTGCTTTTCAATGACATCATCTAAGTGGGAAACAAACATGCCTTGTCCACGTGGCACCGAATGACCAGGGGTGTGGGGGTCTTCAGTTTCATCTGTTATTAGTGGGATTAAAAGTGACCTAAGGGAGGCAGGGGATGTAGAAATAGTCCCACCTTTGCCACAGAACTGAAAATTTGAACCAGTCATGAACGCTCAGCCTCCTTATATGTAAAAGGGTGTGTGCATGTCTGTGGGAGTTGGTGTATGTGGATGCATGTGTGTGTGCATGGGGGTGCATTGTGTGCCCATGTGGGTGCACATGTGCTTGCATGTGTGGGTATAGGATTCTCTGCTCTTTCTATCAATAACATTGTGGAAAATAAATGAAATTGTACACATGAAAGTACCCTAAGAAGCACAAGGTACAATGCTAAGTGGTCTTAGTCCTAACATGAATTCTTTTTAGAAAAGTATTTTGGGCAATGTAGTTCTGGCAAAATTGAATGTGCTAAAACAAAATTCACCAGAAGTTTTAGGGATGATAAGACAAGCCGCTCCCTCCCTTTGCCACTCTATCAAACGAGAGCTAATTTCCTAAAGATGAATGGTGATCTATTGTGGTGATCTGACAAGAAACAGGTTGCCATGGCAATAGGTGTCTCCAACCATGCTAAGAAGCCCTCCTCCCTTTTGTTACATTGCTGGATGGCATTTCAGACGCTGACCTTTCCCTCTCTACGTGTATCTGAAACTTGGAGCAACTGTGACACTGCCTTGGGGGCCTCAGACCCAAAGCCTGGTCTCTGCAGAATTAGGCAGGCATCAGAGGTGGGTGTGCCATGCAGACCAAGGGTGGGCATGAGATGGGGCAGGTGAAGGGGGACGCTGCCCTGCTTGGTGGGGGCCACAGCGGTCCTTTGCCTCACCTATGATCTGTGGTAAGGAGCCGCCGTCCAAATCCAGCAGCACCGTCCCCGTCTGCAGGCAGGTCCGGAGCTCAAAGAGGCTGTGCAGGGACAGTGTGGACACATGGGGCTTGCTCCAGCGCTCGCCTCCTTCCTCTACCTTTTCTTCAAATTTTATCCACCTGGAAAAGTAAGGATGGGGCTCAGCAAGGCCTTTGCCCTCAGGAGGAGCCCAGAGCTGGGCCTCTTCAGGAGAGGGGTGTTGGCTTGTGAGTCATGCTGTGCACATTGTTGGGGCATTGGTCCTAGACTCACAGGCAGAGGATCTCCTGGGGACATCCCCACTCGGTCCCCCACTCCTCCTGGTGTGGCAATGCTCAGGACAAAGTGGCATCAGAGAATGACTATAAATGGGCATGAAGGATACTTTTAGGGTGGTGGAAATGTTCTAAAATTGGATTTGGTGATGGTCACACAACTCTGTACATTTGCTAAAAATCATTTAATTAATACACTTAAAACAAGGGAACTTTATGGTATCCATTAATAATAGAGCTGTTAAAAAAATCGTCCACTGCACCCTAGTTACCCGTCTACTGGTCACACATGTGTTCAGTGTCTGCCTTATGGGGTGTTTGCTGGGAGCAGGAAAGTATTTCCCCACAGTTCTAGGGTAGGGCCTGAGGTTTCCACGAGTCCCACTCGTATTTTGGCTCTGAAAGTTCAAGTTAAAATCTAAACGTCTTTGAGGAAGGAAAGAAATTAAACCAAGGGTATGTAGGAGTCTGTCCTTTCTAGAAGCCTTGGAATCATAGGCTGGGGTGGAGGGGACCAAGCGGGAAGGCCTTGGGCAGGCTGGCAGAGGTAGCCCTGGCCTGTACCTCCCCCGCAGGGGGCAGCACCACACAGCCTGGAGAGCCACAGGGAAGCAAAATCTGGCTGGAGACCTGCTGGCTCAGCTTTACTAGATGTCGACCTCAAGTTAGTGAGTAGCGTCAAGCTATGCCAATCAAAATCCCAGGGGAGTATTTTTGGACTGTGACTATCTAATTCTAAAGTTCCTCTGAAAAAGTAAATGTCTGAGAGTGGTTCGGGAAAGTCTAAAAAAAAGAATGGGGAGGGGACATGCTTTTAGCAGATATAAAAACTTACTGAAAACCTTGAGTAATTAAAGCGTTGTAATTCCAGTCCAGATATAGACAAAGGGATCAATAAAACAACAGTCTGGAAACAGACCTGAGCCCCCATGGGAATCTGGGTTTTGATGGAGGAGGCTTTAAAAGATGACCAACCTAAATATAAAAAAGTCCCTACTTCTTACCAAGCACTACTAAATTCTATGTGGATTAAAGGCTAGACATAAAAATAAATCTATAATGGAATATTGTTGAGCCTTAAAATAAAGGAAATTTTGACGCATGCTACAGCATGAGTAAAACTTGAAGACATTATGCTAAGTGAAATAAGTCAGTCACAAAAGGACAAATACTGTAAGATTCCACTTCTATGAGGGACCTAGAGTAGTCAAATTCATAGAGACAGAAAGTAAAATGGTGGTTACCAGGGGCTGAGGGGAGAGAGGCAGGGAAATTACTGTTTAAGTGGTACAGGGTTTCAGTTTTGTGAGATGAAGGAGTTCAGGAGATGTATGGTAGTGATGGTTACACAACAATGTGAATGTACTTAATGCTATTGAACTGTACACTTAAAAACGGTTAAAATGGTAAAGTTTATGTGTTATATATTTTACCACAATTAAAATAAATAACCATGTTAAAATCTATAAACAAAAATATAAATATACTAGAAGAGAATATAGGAGAATGTTGTGGTTGTGGAGAAAGACTTCCTTAGCAAGATGTAAAACCATAAAGGGAAAATAAATGGGCACATTTTGTTACATAAAAATAAACTAAAACCTCTGTATAACACAATAAGACATAAATGAGATTCACATAAATGCAACATACTCAGAAAATATTTGCAACAAACAGGGCATCAAAGGATTTTTTTTTTTTTTTTTGGCTGCACCAGACGGCATGTGGGATCTTAGTTCCCCGACCAGGGATCAAACCTGCACCCCCTGCTTTGGAAGCGTGCAGTCTTAACCACTGGACCACCAGGGAAGTCCACAAAGCTTCTTCACATCAATAAGAAAAACTCAAATTACCCAACTGAAAAGTGAACAATTCTGAAAAGAAATAATGGCCAATAAATGTATGAAAAGATATTCAACTTTACTAGTAATCAAGAACATTTAAATTGTTGCAAATGAAACAACATCCTTCACTTCTCATATTGGCAAAAATTTAAAAGATTGACAACTTCCTGTGTTGGTGGAAACATGGGGGTGGGCACTCAAACTGTATGTATGAATATAGTATGTGTGTGTGTATATATATATATATATATATATATATATATATAGTGTAGCCACGTAGCCTTCTTGGGGTGGGGAACTGGGGAGTCTCTTTTGTCTTTTGACTGAGCAGTTCTATTTCTAGGAAATTATCACAGGAGTATCATTGCACATCTACACACAGTAATATGTATACCAGGAGATGCTTACTGCAGCTTTGTCCAGTAGGGTGAACAACTGGAAACCACCAGTTTTCAGTAAAGACATGGTTACATCAATTCCATACATCCATGCTGAAGAATAACACTCAGATAAAAAGCACAAGGGTGAACTATGCATACTGACAGGATGGACAATACCATCCCATTCTATAAAAAGAAGAAAACCACACATGTGTGTTTGTGTGTTTACACATGTGTCTGAACATGCCCAGCAGCAGTTTTGAAAGGATGCATGTCAGGTGGTTAAATGGTTACTTCTGAAGGGAAGTGTGGGGTTGTTGGTGGGGGGAGGATTTAAGAGACTTTCAATCTATTGGGGTTAATTAGTGTAGTAAGAGCGCAACCTGTGGAGCAAGACAACCAAGCTTTATTTTTTATTTATCTTTGGCTGTGTTGGGTCTTCATTGCTGCGTGTGGGCTTTCTCTAGTGGCAGTGAGCAGGGGCTACTCTTCATTGCAGTGCACAGGCTTCTCATTGCAGTGGCTTCTCTCATTGCGGAGCACGGGCTCTAGGCACGTGGGCTTCCGTAGCTGTGGCACGTGGGCTCAGTAGTTGTGGCTTGTGGGCTCTAGAGCACAGGCTCAGTGGTTGTGGCGCACGGGCTTAGTTGCTCCACGGCATGTGGGATCTTCCCGGACCAGGGCTCGAACCCGTGTCCCGTGCATTGGCAGGCACCACTGCGCCACAGGGGAAATCCCGACAACCAGGTTTTGAATTCCAGCTTCACGTTTACTAGCTACGGACTTTGGGCAAGTTACTCAATCTCTCACCACCTTTGTTTTCTTTAGGAATACTAACAGTTTATAGCAATTAGAGGAGTGCCTGGCACGTAATGCACTCTCTGTTAGTGTTAGCTATTAATGTGAAAACAAATAATGTTGCTTTTTTAAGTTTAGAAACAATAAGGAAATAAGAAAGTAAAGACATTCAAAGCTCTCCCAACCAGAAGACACCATGGTTGATATTGTGATGACCTTCATATTAGATCTCTGTGTGCATGAACTCACACGTGCATGCATGCACACACACACTTTTACATTAATGACACCAAAGGGCGTGGTATCTAATGGATATCCTTTCATGTCTATAAATGTCTATAAATATTCATATCGTTTTAAAGGCTCTTTAGCATTCCATTGTATGAGTAGACCATAATTTATGTGAATAAACCTCATTTGGTCGACATTTAGATTATTTCTAATTATTCTTTATTATAAACAAGGCTGGTTTGAATTTCCTTGACCCCTGTTCAATAATTTCCTTACGATAAACTCTCAGGAGTGGAACTGCTGTGTCTGCACATTTTTACGTGTATGACATACATTGTCAAACTGTTCTCCAGAAAGCTGTGCCGATTCATACTTCCACCAATGTACAGGAGACCTCACATTTCTTTGAAGTCTCTCAAACTCTAGTATTGTCATTCCTTTTCACTTTTGTGCATTTGGTAATTGAAAAATTATATCATATTTGCATTCTTTTGACTGCATGTGAGGTTGAACATCTTTTCCTTTGTCAGATTTCTTCTTTACACAATTGTGTGAGCATTTTGCAGTATCAGTGTTTAATATCCTGATTCAATACATTTATTTGAGACCAGTTAACTTGGAGCCTGGTGGGGCCTTGGGGCTTGGATGGACACAGGATGGGGAGGTTCTTTTTCTAAATATATACGTTTGTTTTGTTTTGTTTATTTGCGGTATGCGGGCTTCTCACTGCTGTGGCCTCTCCCGTTGCGGAGCACAGGCTCCGGACGCGCAGGCTCAGCGGCCATGGCTCACGGGCCCAGCCGTTCCACGGCATGTGGGATCTTCCCGGACCGGGGCACGAACCCGTGTCCCCTGCATCGGCAGGCGGACTCTCAACCACTGCACCACCAGGGAAGCCCTATACATGTTTATTGACTAGCATTATTATGGACCTATTATTACAGGTAAATGATTCTTTTTTAAAAAAATATTTATGGATGTATGTATGTATTTGGCTGTGCCAGGTCTTAGTTTCAGCACACGGGATCTTTAGTTGAGGTATGAGGGATCTTTAGTTGTGGCGTGCGGGATCTTTTTTAGTTGCAGCATGCAGGCTCTTAGTTGTGGCATGTGGGATCTAGTTCCCTGACCAGGGATCGAACCCAGAGCCCATGCATTGGGAGCACAGACTCTTAACCACTGGACCAGGAGGGAAGTCCTTAAATGATTCTTTTTTAATTGAAGTATAGTTGATTTACAAAGTTGTGTTAGTTTCTGGTGTGCAGCAAAGGAATTCAGTTATATATATATATATAAACTTTTTCCTATTCTTTTCCATTATGGTTTCTTAAGGGATATTGAATATAGTTCCCTGTGCTACACAATAGGCCCCTGTTGTTTATCCATTCTATATATGAGTTTGCATCTGCTAGTCCCAAACTCTGAAGGATGGGGAGGTTTGATTAGAGGAGGCCTGGGAGGTGAAGACATGGCGCTGGAGCAGAGACCACTCAGACACTTGCCTCAGAGACTCACCAAGGTGTAGTGGACATTTTTAATGGGGAAATATGTTTGGGAGAACATTATTTAAATTATGGTAGATCCAAGTCTATATAATATCAATACAAAGTTT